TTCTACCAAAAAAAAAAAAAAAAAAAAAAAAAAAAAAAAAAAAAAACACTCCACAAAACCAGTATGATTAAGGTAGGGAGCTAATAGGTAACTCCTTACCCATGTTATGCAGGTTAGCCATTAGATGGCATCAAATCATCGTGATAATGTGCAGAATACTTTGGCAATCAGACCATTATCAAGTACTAAAGTTGTGAGAGAAATAAGCCTACATTTGGATCCTGATAATGTTATTGCCCGTATTGGGAAGCCTATTCATGTTTCAAGCAGCACTTAGCACTATACTAACAGCCTTCAATCGCATTTGTCTTCAACTACTTCAAACAGTATTTGTCAGGTTGCAGTTGAAGGGAATATTAGAGGCACTTCCAAGCAGTGCTTAGATATCTGTAAAATACCTCTACAGCAAATTGTTTCATTAAGACAGTTGCACACTGGGATGAGGGCAGCATTTCAGCTGTTTGTTTTACTCTCCCTTGAGAAGATCAGGGTCTCCTGTGTCCAAAGTGTAAGCATAAAATCTCCGGCAGCTCCCAGCAACAGGATTATACCAATCTTGGAAAAGACTCTTGCCCTGGTAGGTGAGTTTCATGATGAATTCAGTACCCTCGCATCTTCCCTCAGGCAGGCAGCAAGTGTTTCAAGTCCGGTGCCTTATTAGGCCGCCTTATTATAGGTGAAGGAAAGCTTTTATTCATCAGAAAAAAAAAAAAAAGCCTTTGAAAATACATTAGAGCTTAATTTTAAAAGGTAACTAATGTTGATCTGGAGATATAGATCTTTCGCAATCACAAAGTGTAAAGGTTCCCGTGCCTTCTTGTTTGAGGGTGATCAACAAACTGCAAATAGGAAGAAAGAACTAGGTCCAAATAACTGCAAGATATATATATTTTTTTAGGGCAGAAAAAGCCGTTTTCTCTTCTGCCACTATTATCTCAAATTGTTTGAGCTCATTGATGGTTTGAAAATAAATTACAGTCTCCAGATGGAGTTTGCCTCAGTTTGCCTAACTTGAACTAAAATTCCAGGAATGGAACACACTTTAACAATTACAAATTGGAAACTTTTTTTTTTTTTTTCTGAATCTCCAAATTCAGCCTTAATCATCTGAACCAAATCCTGAATGGTTCACAGCTTTTGTTGACTTTTTTTTTTTTCAGGACCATATGCATTTATGGTTTTGTCTACATAATATTGAAATTTGTGGTTACTTTAGTGAATTGTACCAGCAGGTCTAGATCTGTTTGGAAATAAAAGAGTGAATAAGATAGAACGGTCCTTACTAGAGTTCATATTTGCATAGGTATAAATGAATCTTCACTTTTACACAGTTAAGTTAAATACTCCATTATTTTTAAAAATATGAAATGAGCATTCAAAATTAATTTGGGGGAAATGTATTTGGGGGAATGTATTCTGGGGAATATATTAAGATGAGGAGAAGCATGCAATAATAAATTAAAAAAAAAACAAACATAAAACCATTCTAAGCTCAAAGTCTGCCTGAACATCATACCTTATGTTTCACTTAGGTGAATATCTAGTACTTTTTGTAGGTTAAGTAATATATTTTCTCTGGGTAATGCATCATATAAAGGTCTTGGATATCCATATTATGTGCTCTGAAAAAAAACATTATCTAAGAACCTATTTCATAAGCATGTTGTTAAATATATTTTCTTTATAAGAAAAAATGCCTCATATGCAATTTTCTTTACCAATTTCTTTTTGATTGTTCTCCTAAAATTTATGTATGGTTATGATCTAAGTTACTGCTTTCCCCTCTGGATACTATGTTAGGTACTCATGTTATCATTCTCTTTGGGCAGGGAAGGATCAAAGCTGTTTAGTCATTGCTAGACGATGAAGAGTGACTGATCCCTCCAGCAACRTTGACCTAAAAGGTGAAAATGAAGTGAGGAAATGTCTGAAGGAAACTGTACTACAGTGACCGAGTTCATTCTCTTAGGTTTCATTAGCCATCCAGGGCTTGAGTTACCTCTGTTTGTGCTTTTTCTACTTATCTATGTTATGACTTTGGTGGGGAACATTGGCATCATTGTGCTCGTGCGATTCAATGCCTGCCTTCACACTCCCATGTACTACTTCCTAAGCAATTTATCCTTCTTGGACCTTAGCTATTCATCTACCATTTGTCCCAAGATGTTGGTGAATCTGCTAACACAGCAGAAAACCATTTCTTTAGGTGGTTGTGCAACACAGATGTTTCTGTTTGCTTCCTTTGCTGATGCCGAGTGCCTCCTTTTGGCCGTGATGGCCTATGACCGTTATGTGGCCATATGTCATCCTCTGCTCTACACACTTGTCATGTCCCGCAAAGTCTGTGCCTTCATGGTAGCTGGGGCTTATCTCAGTGGGGGTCTGACCTCACTGATTCACACAAGTTTCACGTTCACGCTGTCATTCTGTGGACCCAACACCATCCACCATTTCTTCTGTGACATTCCCCCACTGCTGAAGCTCTCCTGCTCCAACACAGAAGTCAACGAAGTCCTTCTCTTTGCCCTGTGTGGTTTCATACAAACCAGCACCTTTCTGATCATCRTTGCCTCCTACACCTGCATTCTTTACACCACCCTCCAAATCTATGCAGTGGAGGGCAGGCACAAAGCCTTCTCCACCTGCTCCTCACATCTCATAGCTGTTGCGTTATTCTATGGCTCCCTCCTCTTCACATATTTACGACCTCTCTCCAGCTACTCAATGGACACAGATAAAGTGACTGCTGTGTTTTACACTGTTGTCTTTCCCATGCTGAACCCTCTCATCTACACCCTGAGGAACAAGGAAGTAAGGGAAGTCCTAAGAAGATCAAGAGAGAGAAAAGTGTTTTTTCAGTTATCTACTTAGCAGTAAAAAAAAATGTAATTAAATAAATTAAAAAAAAGTTATAGATACATATGTAAAATAAAAATATATAAAAATACTCTTTCTCTCTTTTTCTAATTACTGTTGTCTGCAGGGTCCTAACACAGGTGTAAACATGTATATTTTAAATGCAAGAGGTTAGCTGACTTTTATCTTGATAAAAAAATCATCATGAAAACATCCCAAATCTCCCATTTGGAGGACATCTTTTCTATTATGTGATCAGCCAGGACAACAGGGCCTTTGTTTTTTTGTTTGTCTTTTTTAAAAGCATAAGCATATGCAACCAAATGAGCATAATATTCACCCTACAATCATAATGTATTCTCCTTAATACATCAAGACCTTAATTTAGGATGGGCTGAGCAAGTCCAAACATTAGCCAACTCCTGCCTGAAAAAGTGAGCCTAAGTAGCAAGCAGAGAGGATTTTTCTGTAAACTGGGTAGTTGAGGCCTACCTCAACCTGAGGCCTGTGTAAACATACTCACTTTCTGCTTGTTGCTGTGGGAGGCCAGACATTTCTTTGTCTGTTTGAAGACTCCCATGAGGGCACTTTAATGATGTCCTTTGTGTTTTAACTGAAAAATATTAGCTGAAAACTTAGGTGTTCCTGAGGGTTTGGTTCTTAACAGCTGAAATAGCGAATGGGTGCAGTAACAGGTCCTGATATGAGTTCTCAAGCTTGAGGGATAAGCTGCTGTTCTGTGCTACCCACAAGCATGAAACAATATTTCTTCTTTTCTGTGAAGGAAAAAGKATTATTTTATCTCTTCTCAGATATTTCCAGACATCTCTCACTAGTATGTCAATACAATGAGCAACTGCATATGTTTGTTTGTGCGTTTTCACTAAAGAGAAATTACAGCTCACAGACATGAGTTAGATAAGATCATGAAAGAGACTGGAAGACCCAGCTGAAAATTAGGTAAGAAAGTCTTTTTGCATCGGCAGAGGTTGTGGTAGCATCTTGGGCAATGAGATTGAAATCCAGACTTCTGCACTGTTGGAGCGTTCGGAGGCTAAGGATTGGAGAGTGTTTGAGGCTGACCTGTAAAATCCAGGTATGTCCTTGATGGTATGAGYACTGAACTGTCAATTTAGCAATATTACTGACTACATTTTACATACTTGGAGAGCTCAGAAGAGKGTCTTTTTTTGTTGTTGGTTTGCTCTGTGTAAAATCACATAGTCAATTGTAGCATTAGTGGGATGATCAGATCATTTTAACTTCATTAGACCACTTATTAGACCAAATTTGGCACGTAAAAATGTGTACAACCTCTGTAGGATTGATTTCACTGAACTTCAGATTTCTACATTAAGTCAAATATCTCAGGTGCCTTTACGGTTAATAAAAAGAGACAGAACTTCTCAGGGAGAGGCTTCTAGGCTGTTCACTCATTTCAAGAGCTGAGGTGTGCTAATGTCTGAAATTAGTAGGATGAATAGTTGAGGGACATGCTGATCATAGAGCGACCCTAGCTGATTTAGAAGTCTAAAGATATTTTAGGGATGCAAATGGTAATTGTCTGACTATTTAAAAAATGATTCCTTCTGATCTGGAGTCAACATCTATCAAGAGTGCCAGATGCCACATTTTTTTTTTTTAGTTATTTGTGGATAGCATATAGAACCAGTCAGAGAAGGACCTCATCTGACCTCTTACCCCATTGCAGTCATGGACTCTCCCCTACAATGTAAAAGCGTTGGATCTGCATTAACTTAGTCTGAAAACAGACCCAGATGTTTAACTCTCACTTTCTGCTTTGGTATTCTAAAAAGTTGACGGCAGTGAAGTGTCACCTTCCACTGGCCTTTTGAAGAGAGATGCAACGTTTGTGTTTCACAACAAAGCAACACACTGAATTCTTCAGCTGGGTCTCAGTTCCTGTATTGTCTTGGATATACACTGCTGYACCCAGAGATACTCAATAAGCTCTGCCCAGAAAGCTTTGAAGAATCTGAGTCCTGCAAAATGAAAGCAAGGGCAAGGTACTTGATGCCAGCCTTCRTCCTGCTTGATGGTGAATTACTCCATGAAATACACTTATGAACAACTTGGTCTTCTTATTTATATAGGCATCACACATTCCATCTTAGCATGTATACATGGCAGTAAGCAATCACACAACAGTGACTCACTTCATCCTCTTGGGACTCACGGCTCGCCTGGAACTGGAGTTGCCACTCTTCATGATGATCCTACTCATCTATGTTACGACCCTTGTGGGTAACATTGGAATAATATGCTTGATCAGGGCCGACATCCAACTTCAAACACCGATGTACTTCTTCCTCATTAACTTGTCATTTGTGGATCTCTGTTATTCTTCAGTTTTTGCTCCAAGGATGCTGGTAAACTTCTTAGTGCGGAGTAAGACTATTTCTTTCTCTGCATGTATTGTCCAACACTTCTCATTTGTTGTGTTCGTGACCACAGAGGGATTCCTGCTGGCTGTCATGGCCTAYGACCGCTATGTAGCTATTTGCAACCCACTACTTTACACTACACTTATGCCCAAGAAAGTTTGCATTTGGCTGGTGACTGGATCATATTTAGGGGGCCTCTTTAACTCATTGATACATACTTGTGGCTTACTGAAGTTGTCATTCTGTGGACCTAATATCATCAACCATTACTTCTGTGATACAAACCCATTRTTGAAACTTAATTGCTCAGATGGCCATATCAATGAGATTATGCTCGTAACCCTCTCTGGGATCATAGCTATGTCCACACTCTTAATTGTCATTGTCTCCTATTTCTGCATCTTCTTCTCAGTCCTAAGGATGAGGTCCACAGGTAGGTTCAAAGCCCTGTCCACCTGCACCTCACATCTGACAGCTGTAAGCCTCTTCTATGGGCCCGTGAGTTTGAGTCACATCCAGCCCAGGTCAAGATACTCACTGGAACGAGAGAAAATCTCTGCAATATGCTACACACTGCTTGTTCCTATGCTGAATCCATTGATCTACAGTCTCAGGAACAAGGAGGTGAAAAATGCAATTAGAAGGGTGATGGAAAGGAAAAAATGCTGCTCATTGGCTCGTTCGTGAGAATAATCAATTCCCTAGAAAAATTGAAAAGGGAAAAACCAGTTCAGTCCTAATGTTTTGATTTACACAAATTATATATATGCAGGATTCAAATGTAAATGAAAAATTAGGGAACCTTTGACAGATAATTTTTAGTATGTTGAAGCAACACAGAAACCTAAAGTTTTCTGTTTTTTTTTTTGTAACCAAAAATGTTGTGATTTAAACATTATGCTTTATTTTGGACATTAAAGATAAACTGGTATAAGGACAAAATAATAAAAAAACCCTTCTCTGTTCCTACTATGTTCCTGCAACTCTATGATGTATATTTACTTTCCTAGAGGAGAAGATGAAATTTGTCTAATGTTTGGCTCCCATAACATATATGTATGCTTTTTTGAGTGAGGCTGTAGGAAAATTYTTTAAATCCTTATTTCAGTGGACAGAGATTTACAAATTCAAATGCATGCCTGCAGTGTCTGGTCCCCATGGTAACTCTTGGATTACCTATTTATATTATTGTTGCTGTCTTCTAGTAGTATAGTTTATATATAACTAGATATCTATAACTATACTTATATAGTCACATATATACGCCATAGAAATGGTGGAGAATTATATTGGAATTTTCTACACAATTATCTAAAAACATGTCAGTYCTCTCAGCTCTATTAATCAGGATTTCCTAGGAAATAAATGTTTTAAAAGAGCCAACATTCCACATGAAATGCAGGAAGAAACTCACTTTTCCACTAGGCTGCATTTTCTCATTGTCATTATGGGTTGACAGTTGAGTAGTCTGTCCTCTCCACTTTATATGGGGCATTGTTAAGTGTCTTTGTGGTCTCCCAGAAAACAGACAACCATTTACTTGAAGGTTTTAGGAGCTTTGTGAGACTCTAGAATCCTCTGACCAAGTTCCCAAACGCTTGTCTGCAAGAAGATCACTGAACTTATCCTGCAGCTGCAAATCTGCAGATGGACTGAGCAAGCGACTAGGATCACACGCTAGGTCTAAGCAGAAATGGAGAGGRCATCCTGAAAAAGACATCAGGCATAGGGATACAGGAAGATGAGTGAATGACCAAAAACCCTCCCAGATTGGCCATGCTTGACATTGTGTTGTCAGGCTTGTTTCAATTCAGTTGCTTCTGCAGGGGGAAAAGAGCACTCACCATGCAACCTGTCTGCAAGGGTTCTGTGGGGAGGGGAGCTTTCACCCAAAACTCTGACAGACTTGGCTTCCTTCCTGGGCTGAAAGGGGATGGCGCCTCTAGCCCCAAGAATTGGGGAAAAAGGAAGAACACGCGAGATTTTCTTTTTCCTTTACTGGGAAAACATATGTGCATTGCAGAGAAAGCAGAGAGGTCAAGGAACAATCTTCATTCAGTGACAASAAGRARACAGGCTGGTTTTTARACTGTGAAATTATAKTGCTGCACAYYAARGCAAACRGCCACATTTCTTCTCCTCTTCCTGTCTTCTTTTCTTCATTCTAAGTCCAGGTCCCAGCCTGTYTTCTGGCTGATGGCATTCCTTTTGGTTTGCCCTCTTCCATGAACCTGCACTCGATAAATGCAGGTGTACTCTGGGTTTCCCCAGTTGCTCTGTATGACAAGTTTTATATACTGAAAGGCCTTGGGAAGCTCGTTCTGTAAAGAAATGATGGGGAAAAAGCAACAGTTTGTGAAGAGCAACAACAACAAAAATTAGTAGATCCTTCTGGGAAGGATCAAACTCTTAGAACAGGCTGAGAGCAGCTTGTGGATATTGGCCACTGGCACCAGGGCTGCCAGGAAGGCCGGGGACATGAGGAAACTCTTGCTGTGGAAGAGGGTGACTGGTTTCCTCCTTGCCCCCAGCTGCATCATCTAGGTTTGTGCACCCCTTCTCTCAGCCCTTTCCCTCTTCTGCTTTTTCTGCACTATCAGAGATGCCTGCCAGGTACTCCTGCATGCAAGATCTGCCTCCCACGTGTCTTGCCCACCTGCACTTCCTGAACCTTGAGAGAGAA